AAAAAAAAAAGAAAAAAGAAAACTTATGTTTTAAGTATAATAAGTGAATAAAATGCTATACACTTACTTTTCTTCCCCACTTGCAGTGAAGCAAGGCAAGTCAGCAGGGAGGGAGTGTGGAAGTGGTGTGGTGTGTAATATCCATCTCCAATGGAGAAGTGAACGGTTAGTAACTGCTACAGAAATTAAGATTTGTTAAAAAAAAAAAAAAAAGAAAGCAACGAAGGGGAATGTAATTTATACTCAGAACGGGTCCACTGTCTGTGGAAGCACTTGGGAAATTATAAGGTGGTGGTAGCTACATTATCCAAAAGTCTTCTAGAAAACAGTTCCACAGCAGAGCAACAGACTGAAACCACCCAAGTCAGCTTTTGGCACCTACTTTCTTTCTATTAATGATGCTGATGCCTTGATCTTGGACTCCATCCCTGCAGAACCGTGGAGAGGCTTAATTTTTGTCATTTAAGTCACCCTGTCTGTGGTACTTTGCTATGTAGTCCCCGCCGCCTGAGGCTCCCCGCATGTCCCGTGGAGGTCTTGGTTGGAGTGAGTGCCACTGTGTCACTGATGAGAGCTGCTTTGTATTGTGGTCTTTGCTTCTCTATTACACTGAACTCACTGGGGACTTTGACCTCACGACCTTAGCCTTCTGTTGACCTGCTGCCTCTTAAATTTTGAGTCGAATTCAGGTAAAAAATCCCCCAAACTTTTCAGACTCAGAGGCAGTGCCCTTAAAAACCCTTCAGAGTACTTGACTCAGGAGCAGAATGAGCTCTGTCCCTGGACAGGCAGGCTGGGTGTTCAAGTATCATTCTTGCTCTTGAAATGAGATCACCCCTGATGGTGTTCGTTCCCCGGAACCAGGTTTGCACATCTTGGGTGAAGGACCTTCCGGTGTAGATTATGTTCTTTAAGGCGGTGAGGTAACTGAGACTTGTGCTCTGAACTTTCTCTTTTACATCTGCATGTAAATTTAACCAAATTATCTTGCTTTTGTGAAAAGCCCCATGCAAGTCCTTAGTGTATCAAGTATTAATAGCTGAAAAAAAGAGAGGACTCTGTTCTTAGGCATGCTCAGAATCCTCTTTGCTTTTCCCTTTTTGCATGTAACGTAGTCCTGTTTTTTCCTTGAAACAGATCTTTTAAAGAGAATTCGTCCCTCTGAGTAAGTCAAATTAGGATCCCCTTCCTCCCTCCTCTCTGTCTCTGTCTCTTTCTCTTTGTCGCGTGGATTTTGGTCATCTCTGCTAGGGGCCGCTCGGAAAGTAAGTTGAAGTCTTGAAGGGAAATTCCTTAAGGCTGCTTCATCCACACAGTTCCTCGGGAGGGAGGGATTCCTTTCCTGTAAGCGGGAGGCGCAGTTTCTAAGAAAGGCTTCCAGGAAGGATGAGGTGCAGCAGGAAGGAATCCCACAGAGCCGCCGACTCACACACACTTTTGAGAAGGGAATTCATCGCCTTTGATTTCTGGGAATTGGCGTTTCCACTGAGGGCAGAACAAAGTGAGAGATAGCTACTCCTTCATGGGTCAGGCCGTGGGGAGGGTGGTGTGTGAGGGGGGTGAGGGCTGTGGCAGCTGGATTGAACCCCGACGGGCAAACTTGACGTGAACCAGAGGCAGGTTGAAATAAGCCGGCCCTGGCTCACACAGACAGAAGGTCGGTTCAAAGCCATTAGCGCTTTCCTCCCTCTCACAGCGAACTCCTGGCAGGGATTTCAAGGAAGAGGTGACCGTGAACACCGATGCGCGGCACCCCGTGTGTGGAAGGGCCGACCGTGCCGCGCCCCGGGGGACAGGGGGTAGGGGGGATGGACGGACGGACGACGGGACGTAAGCACGGGTGAGGCTAGCGTGTTCTCCCGTGGCGGTGGACCCCGGGCAGGAAGCCGGCGGCCGCGGCTCCTCCCTGTGGCTCCTCCCTGTGGCTCCTGGGGAGCCGCTGGTGGCTGGAGGTCCCATTCCACACTTCCTGCCCGTGCTGCGCTCACTTCCTCCTGGCCCGTGCTCCCACCTGCTATGTTCTCTTGAACCTTCTCTGCCCCGCCCTCCCCGCCAAGTCAGCCCCGTTCCTTGGTTTCCACAAAAATCTGTCTGCGATGGGGCTTGGGGATTTGTGAAGATAGGGGTTGAGTATTGGGTGGGCTTTGCCCCCTCCCCTCCCTCTTCCTCTCTCCGTGCCCTTCCCTCCGGGCAGTGGCCCCCTTCACCTTGGGCACAGCCATTCTGATCGCTCCCGGACTTTGACGAACAGTTTTCTGCCTTATTATGTAAATTCCTATCACAGGAGGTAGGGGTGCTACCAGAACCTTGATAATGTTTGTAGACGCTTTGCCTCCAGCTGAGGAGACTGAGGTGCAGAGGGTATGTGTTTTGCCCAAAGCATTAGTAAATGGAGGGTATGGGGCTGTTTGATTCCCAGCTTCAAATGTGGGAAGTCATGTGCAGAGGAGGGAGAGTTCCATGCCTGAGGAGCTGGTGTGATCCGGGAAAGGCTTCCTGGAACAGGTGGTGCTTATTGACTACATTGTGTTTTAGTTTGTGCAGAAGCTCTTTCCGCTCCTGGAATCCCTAAAGAGGTGCACCTCCAGAAGCCTACTGCGTTGCAGAGGACTTCTTTTCCCTAGGTTTAGCTATCTGGCGTCCGTGTTCAGGCCCAGTCTTAACTTCTGAAGTGACCCCTGGCTCCTGATGGATTTTAGTCTTAGGTTAGATTGTAGAGAGAAGGGTTTCTGTTCTTTATATCTGGGTTCCCCATTTTTAAAAAATATTTTATTTGAGAGAGAGAGAGAACACAAGCAGGTAGAGGGGCAGAGGGAGAGGGAGAAGCAGACTCCCTGCTGAGTGGGGAGCCTGACTCAGGGCTCGATCCCAGGACCCTGGGATCATGACCTGAGCGGAAGGCAGGTGCCCAACCGACTGAGCCACCCAGGCACCCCTTCCCATTTTTTTTTTTTTTGAATATTTATTTATTTATTTATTTGAGAGAGAGAGAGAGAGAGGGTGTGGGTGTGGGTGGATGGATGCAGAGGGAGAGAAAGAGAATCCCAAACAGACTCACTGCTGAGCCTGACGTGGGGCTTGATCCCATGATCCTGAGAGCATGACCTGAGCTGAAATCAAAGTCGGATGCTTAACCCACTGAGCTACCCAGGCACCCCTATATCTGGGTCTTCTGATAGGCCACCATTCTCAGTGTTGTTCTTGCATCTTTTTATTTCGGAAGGAAATGGTTTGGTATGGTAGCCTTCCTCCTACCCTTCTCCCCCCACTAAAGGAAAAGAAATCCTACCTTGATTTGAAAGGAAATCAGATTAAGAATAAAATTTTTGAGGGCTGCCTGGGTGGCGCAGTGGGTTAAGTGTCCAACTCTTGGTTTTGATTTAGGTCGTGATCTCAGGATCATGAGATTGAGCCTCGCCTTGGGTTCCTTGCTCAGTGGGGGAATCTGCTTTAGAGTCTTTCTCCCTCTCCCTCTGCCCCTCCCACTTGTGCTCTCTCTCTCTCTCTAAAATAAATAAGTCAGGGGCGCCTGGGTAGCTCAGTTGTTAAGTGTCTGCCTTCGCCTCAGGTCATGATCCCAGGGTCCTGGAATCGAGCCCCACATCGGGCTCCCTGCTCCGTGGGAAGCCTGCTTCTCCCTCTACCAGTCCCTCTGCTTGTGTTACCTCTCTCGCTATGTCTCTCTCTGTCAAATAAATAAATAAAATCTTAAAAAAAAAATTGGTCATAAAATTTTTTTTTGATTGCCTGAGGTCGTAGAGCTGTTGCCAGTCTCATTGTTTTTAATTTTTCTTTTCATCTGTGCCATGTGATTCTAACTCTTGGTTTGCTCAGGACAGGCCTGGTTTACACCCCTTCTCACACTGTAATGATTAACAGCACCTCGTTTTACTCCTAGGAGTGTGTTAGGTTGGATGATAAATAATACCGCTCTAAGTGAGCTGAAGTTCATATTCCATAAACTATACCCCCTCAGCCCACCATGGAACTTGGGCAGGAAATGTGGTCAGGGTGATACCAATGTTTGCTACACTTGGACCAGGAGTAATGGCTAGTGAAAACCTATGATCCATCCCCACCTGGGAAAACCACCTGCGGCCTGTGCTTTGTCGGCAAGAAGGCGGGCTGTGAAAGCTCCAGGGAGGGCGTGCGGCCCTGGAGGGTCCCACCGGGCGATGGGAGCGTGGACGGGGGTATCTCACGGGTGGTCCGGTTTGTGGGGCCGGAGGGGTGTCCTGGGATGTGTGTGAGTCCAGCCAGTGAAGGCCATTGTAGTCCAGCATTTAGCTTCGCCGTGCGAGGCAGAGCGAGCTGGACAGGGAGCCATGGCCAGGGGGCGGTGGTGAGTAGTCTGGGAACCAGGGAAGTCCTGGGGAAGGGGGAGAGGTTGGAAGTCCCCCCGAGATGACGCGGGCCTTCACCGCAGCCTGGCGGGCTTAGCCGATTGCCTGGTCCCAGAGTTTGGGTGGGCCGAGGCCTCTGAGCGGCCCTGCGTGGGGCCCAGCACTTGGGGTCTGCTGAGCTGGTGGAGACTGCGAAGCGGCACATCGGCAGTCCTGTGGGAACTGTCCTGGCTGATGAACTAACAGTGTGTGCCCTTGGGCCAGATCCAGTCCCAGCCAGTTTCTGTATTTGTCAGCTGAACATGCTAGTAGTAACTCTGGGTGAATGGGAGAAGTCCTGAAGCCCAGCTACCTCTCCCCAGATTCCCTGATTCACTCCCTTCTATAGGACATTCTTTTATTTATTTATTTATTTTTTAAGATTTTATTTATTTGACAGAGCAGAGAGAGACGCAGCGAGAGAGGAACACAAGCCGGGGGAGGGGGAGAGGGAGAAGCAGGCTTCCCGCCGAGCAGGGAGCCCGACGCGGGGCTCGATCCCAGGACCCCGGGACCATGACCTGAGCCGAAGGCAGACGCTTAACGACTGAGCCACCCAGGCGCCCTAGGACATTCTTTTATTATCTCTGCTCAAATAGAGGCAAATGCTTAGTATTTCAGGATTTTTCTGTAAGTGCTTTGGACCTTAGGGCTTTTCAGTTGCTGTTCTCAGGCTGACCTGGCTTTTGGTCCACACCTGGCCTCCTCTGAGAGCCTCAACCCCAGCTAGAGTAACCGCTCCCGTCCTCAGCCACATCTCTGTTTCATTTTCTATCTGATCATTGTCATTGTTCTGGACCTGTCTTAGTGTGGTTGTCCCCTGCTTTCCTTCCTGACTGAGCTCCATAGAAGATGCCATCTGTGGGTGACAATCTAGGAAAGTGCTTGTCACATGGTGGACCAGCACTTAAGACCTCATATGAATTAGTGAATGTTAAAATTCCTGTTTACTGCAGTCCTGTTGTTGAGATTCCTGGTTAAAAAGAAAAAAAAACAGTGAGGGATGCCTGGGTGGCTCAGTCGGTTAAGCCTCTGCCTTCAGTTCAGGTCATGATCCCAGGGTCCTGGGATCAAGCCGCGCATTGGGCTCCCTGATCAGCTGCGAGTCTGCTTCTCCCTCTGCCCCTCTCCCCTGCTTGTGCTTGCTTGCTCTCTATCAGATAAATAAAATCTTAAAAAAAAGTGAGTTGTGGGTTGTATCTTTTTAAAAAATTTTTAATAAAGGCATGTACACATTCTGTGCTTTGAGAACATTTGAGGGCTGCTTCCATGGGGATGAGGGAGGAAGATGCCATTTGGCTCTGGCCTCTTTGGAGGGAGAAAGAGGGGGTGGCGACTCCTCTGCTCTTAGGTTATACAGTTGGGTCCTCACTGGTGTGTGTGAGGGGGGTGGTCCGTCTTCCCTCCATCTCCCCTTCCTTCTGATGTTCAGGCGACCTTCGTGGAAGGGATGAGGAACAGAGAGCCTTGCGAGAGGGAATCGGATTTGCCTGGAAACGGCATCCGGATTGCTGGGGTTGGTATAGGCCTGGAGATGGAAGCCAGGGGTGACAGCCCATCTGCAGAGTATGTCTACATGGGATTCCCTGCATTCTATGCTAAACCCATTTGTGTTTGCTGTTGCTTTCTTTCCCCCTCCACTTCTGAGTTTTTGTGGTTATAGGAAACGTTTTTCAAAGTGAGTGGGAGAAGATCCTAAGATTATTAAGAAAGCTATTTTGGTGTGTCCTGAGATTCCCTATGGAGCTTTCCTTCTTCCACTTCCTACTGAATAAGCCCTTTAAAAGACCACGTACAGAGGCTTTTCAAAGGATGTTTTTGTTCTTTCTGAATACGCAGCTAGGGTTGGTATGTTTGTAATTGACCTAATGCTTCAAAGAATGAACTGGTTTAGCTGGAATTCTCTGAAAATCCATTGACATAGTATTGCCCAAAGAGAAAAGTATATGATTTATAATTAGCTTTCTCCCCTTAACTCTGAATAATGGGCGGAGAGGTTCTTACATTTTAAATTGGCGTTATTGTTTGGCACAGCTGTTCTCTGTATTGTGTATAAAACATGGTACTCCGGTCTTCTATTTTCTGGTACCATTGCTTTTGCTTGTCAGAATGTGGCCGA